GGTTTGAATTTCGCGCTCTTTGTGAGCGTTGCGCGGCTGTGGCTACAGCGCTCGTGACTTCACTCTCAGTGATTTACAGCTCTTTGAATAGACGCGTCTGGCTAGCCTTCGACCATCCCATCCTCGTCGCCAGTGTTGTGGAGCGATGGTAAGGAAGAGGCATGAGACCAGAGCGTACAACTAACAAGGCTTTATTGTAGGGAATAAAGGGTTGTCGCGTCTGCTTGCTAACTTGCAGACTAGCGGGCGACAACCGGCTGGCTCTGCCCGACAGCCGGCTTATATAGCCGACTGTCAAACGGAACCAACCAATGGGAGCGGCTGGTGCTCCCGCTCAAACAGCGGACCTGGTTGGGAACCCCCACCAGTTCCACGGACATAACAGTAAAAGTAACAGAAAATGAAGACACTAAAGTGCTCTGGGACTTTAGAATTCAAGACAAGCATGCATCTACCACATAACACCCAAGATTTAACAACTTTTAATAAGAAAGACAAAAAAAGTCTGAAAATGAATATGGCAGTACCTAGAATTGTATAGAAAGCAATAGAAATAGCACTTAGATTTATGTAACGCTCCATAGTGCTTTCCAACCTTATCTGAGCAGTTTAGAGAGTCAGGATATTGTCCCCCAACAATCTGGGGCCTCATTTTACCAAGCTCAGTAGGATGAAAGGCTGAGTCAACCTCGAGCCCATCAGGATTGAATTTCAGATTATGGGCAGAGTTAGCCTGCAATACTGCATTCTAATCACTGTGTCATCATGGCTCTTCAAAGAACTGGAGAAAATAACAAAGTACAAAAACGTGCAAATAAAAGTAGAATGACTATGTAGAATAACAGTAGAATAACAAAAAAGCAAAGACAACTCTAATAGTGATAGGTACCTTGGGTGCAATCCTAAAACATCTGGAGCAGCTCTTGAACACCACTGGCACTGACAAAATCACCATCAATCAATTGCTAAAGGCAGCTTTACTTGGAACAATTACACCATGTGACAATATCTATAACACCATCAAACAGCAGCATCTGCCTATTCCAGGATTTGATAGGTGGATAAAAATGCCAGATCCAGTCTAAATATCTGATTGACTGTGCAACCAACTAAGAGCCATGGTGGTACAGTGGTTAGAATGCAGTACTGCAGGCTATTTCTGCTGCCTGCCGGCTGCCTGCAATTTGGCTGTTCAAATCTCAACAGGCTCAAGGTTGACTCAGTCTTCCATCCTTCTGAGGTGGGTAAAATGAGGACTCAGATTGTTGAGGGAAATGTGCTGACTCTGTAAAATGCTTAGAAAGGGCTGTAAAAAGCACTATAAAAGAGCACTATGAAGGTATGTAAGTCTAAGTGCAGTGGTGGGATGCACCCTGCTCACAGCTGCCAGAGGGCATCGCTGGCAATCCATTGGTGAGCTTGTCCACCCTGCTGATGGCAAAGAAAAGGCCCAGCAACAGACAGAGGGTGGAGAAGAGCAGCGCCATCATCGCCTTCACTGTTTCTCCCACCTTTCCCACCTGTTGGTGGCCAGCCAGAGGAGGTGCAACCGGGGTTGGAGAAACCATCCGTGCATTATGCACTCAGCCCAAACAGTGCTAGCCTTCGCTACTTAAGCCAAAAGGTTCAAGCAACCCTGGGTGACTTAGTAGGATAGGAAAAGAGAATATTCCCATGCATACGCAGAGAGCTGCAAGGGGGCACCCAGGCTCTGAAAGAGATATCGGAGACGGTGCGCTTTTCCTGCTTCTGTTGCAGCCGTCTTGAGCAGGTGGAAATTGCCTGTAAAGAAGAGCCACAGCCAATGGAGCATGTTCATGGTTGTCTCCTCTGTTATAGGAAGGAGGTCTAAGAGGGTCCCTGTTCTCTAGAAAGGTCCCTACTATCTCATTTTGTTAAAATTTAAATGGGTACATTTAAAAGAATCACAATCCCTCTCCATGGGTATGGTCAAGAAGCAGGCTTAAATCACATTATTAGGGTCACAGGCTGGACAGCAAAGGGTTTAATGCCTTGGAGAGGCTAGTAGGGCAGGCAGCAACCCCCGATTCCCGCCTGCTCTGCCCTTCCTTCCACAGATGGTGGCAGAGAGGAAGGCGATCCAGGCTGAGCCCACACCACTTGCCCCCTCCCCCAGCCCGCCCCCGCCTGGATTTTCCACAGCTGCTGGCCTTCGCAACTCAACATCACTCACTCCCACCCAGTCACATGAACCCCCCCAGCCATGTCTATCCAATCTGTCATGAGAGCAGAGAACCAGTTGTAAAAAAACACCTGGATCCACAAAACCCTTTTGGCATATTTTTTTCTCTCTCCCCTCCCCACTCTCTCCTTTCTCTCTGTATCTCTCTATGTGTGTCTTTCTATGTCTCTCTCTCTCTTCTCTCCCCCTCTCTCCCCCCCCCCCCCCCCCC